AGCATTTGGGAATTTTCGCTATTGAGCAATGATTTACTTGAGTCTGAAAAATCAAAGGAAATGTGGGCAAATGCCAGAGAGCTGGTGCAGAGAATTGGCTTGAAGTAAAAGGGGAACCTGAGCAGAAACCCACAAGTACTTTTGTTCCTAGTAGATATGGATCATTGTTTGACGTGTCCAGAAAGTCATTATCCAAACACAGAGCATAACCACTGCCTCCAGAAAGCAGTAACATGAAGATCCTTTGGGAAAGACACTCACCTACTTGGTCCTGGGCGTCTCTGCACTAACAGCGGGTGTTCTAGTGTTTTTGTGAAGTACCACCACACTCCCATTGTCAAGGCCAACAATCAGGTTTTCACTTACATCCTGATCATCACTCCGATCTTCTGTTTTCTCTGTCCATTGCTCTTCATTGGCCGTCCTAACACAACCACCTGTATCCTGCAGCAGAGCACATTTGTAGTTCTGCTTATGGTGGCACTCTCCACAGTCTTGGCCAAAACTATTACTGTGGTTCTGGCTTTCAAGATAACTGTTGCAGGGAGACTGATAAGGTGGATAATGGTATCTAGAGCACCTAACTTCATTATTCCCATCTGCACCATTATCCAACTTGTGCTCTGTGGAATTTGGCTGAGCACCTCTCCTCCATTTATTGAGTCAGATGCTTACTCTGAGCATGGACACATAATTATATGCAACAAGGGCTCCACTATTGCCTTCCATTCTTTCCTGGCATACCTCTGTGGATCTTACAGATTACTCTATGTTTTTCTTAATACATAGAAGTCTTCAAGCCTGTTTAGCACAAATCCAATTGTCAGAGATCATATAGCAATTTGAGATTTTATATTTGTTGGTTCTGTTTACTGATGAAATTGATCTTCATTCTCTCCTCTTCTTTTGTTTTTACATAGTTCTCTAAATTAGAAAGCCTGTTTTCATAAAAATCCATTCTCTCTCTCAATCAATATGAAAGACAATATTAATGGGATGCGTATGTATTCTTTACCTCTTCCAAATTGCATAACTTTGCCTTTACAGCATTAAATGTTTTCATATGTATCCAGGTGTTTTTGATGCCCTTGGTATGTTTCCTGGATTCATTGTGCTTACATTTCATGTATGCTTTTGCTATGTAGAAAGGCACATTTTTTTAAAAATGAATATGATTTTGACATGAAGGAATTACTCTGCCAAAAATACTGCATAATTAGCTGCATACTAGAATAGAATAGACCAATTCGTTTAATTATAACCCAACGTCAGATATCAGTTAATAAGATATTTACCCAATTACATGAAGCTTCTGTTAAATCTGTAAAGATTGTGATATGTCCTGCTATAACCAGTTCTGTAGAACCTGTGCTCATGTCTATCTTTGACTATAGATATCAAAATGGCTTTTCTACTCACTCACTCACAATTTTTCAATTTTGATAAATGACTCTATATTCTTTATTGTGTAACTCCTGCGTATTTATGAGTACTCATTTCTCCATATTTTATCAGTATTGCTTAAGAGATATGTAATTCTTTGGGAACAACATTTCTGACTCTTCTTATTTCATGTGCAGTGTACATTTGCATAAATATGTAAGACATTATGTGCTGTGTGCCTTGTATCTTGTCGTTTGTCAAGTTTTTTGTAGTTTACAAGCTATAAACTTTCAAGAATAAGATAGAGGATAACTTATGTCAATCACTACAGGTAAATTGAAAACAAGCCAGAGTCTATCTTTGTGAGTGGGTTCATCAGGGTGACTGTTATAAATACATTTTCTCATACGATAAGTTGTTATCATGGTTTGCCTTCGGTCATCTCCTCCCAGATCCTCCTTAAAGCCAACCAACCAACTCCCTGACCCCTTTTTCTCTCTCTTTAGGAAACAAACAGGAAAAACACCCAACCAGAACAAAATAAAACAAACAACAACAAAACTAGGTAAAGTTTGTAGAACACATGGAAAGGTAGGCACACACACACACAAACACACATTTACACACACAGGTGTCTTGCCTGCAATTTAAGCTAGTGCAACTGTGGCATAGATTTTGAGGGCGTAACCAGTCAACATCTGATTTGACTTTAGGTCCACTCTATGGAAAACACCCCTGACACTTTTGTGTGTGTGCCAAACACCTGAAAGTAAATGGAACAAGGGGGGAGGGTAAAACCAAATGCCACTGTTCTATTAAAAGGCCATAGCAATAAGATGACTCCTAATGACATTCTGGAATAGATCAGTGCCTTCCTCAACCACTGTCAGAGAAGCTTCCTCCAGCAGCAGATGAGAGCAAATAGAGAGACCCACAGTCGAACATTATGCTGAGAATGATAGACCTGGGAACTCTCAGCCCTGAATGTTATGTCTCCCTCTAATCCCTCCCCTCAGGATGTAGGGATCACTGTGGTAGATGAGGCAGAAAGAGTGCTGGAGGGAGAAGGACATGTCAGAAGAATATTGAGATTACAAATGCCATATAACCCCCTGGACAACTCTGCTGATGTCCACGCCAATATTTCCTCCCATTGTGTTGACTTGTGTTTCTATAAATCTGAAGTTAAATAAACCCTGCTTCCTGTAAGTAGATCTTTGCCAACTATTAGATCATAACCACAAGAAAAAGTAGTAGTTGAGTGGCTTGAGAGAAGAATGTGAGAAAAAAAATTAGAAATCACTGTGGATTTTACAAGCATTGATTGGACAGTTGCATGTGATATCACATGGAGTCCATGATGTAAGCTAGGCATCAGCCAATAAAAGGGCACCACCTAGGGCTGGGTTTTATCTTTGTATTTCAGAGAAGCGGTTGGTGAGAGAGCAGTTGGATTCAGTTTTTTCTGCTAGATTTGGACTTTTCAAAGCCTGTCGGATCTCGACTCAGTGAGTATATTTCCCAGGTCTTCACTTTAGGCTTTTGTCATTTGTTATCTATTCATTGCTTTATTTACATTTTTTGGTTTCGGTTTTGATTTTTGCCTGTAAATGCTTTTTCCTCATTTCACCTCATTTTCATTTTTATCAACTTTTTTCTTTGTCATTTTTGCCTTTGTTCTTGTGTAATTCACACATATGGTGGTATATATTATCTCTATAGCATGAGGAATTTGATCATGACTTCCCATATCTGACTATTTTGCATTATAATCATATTTACATGCTCTATTTCACTTACCCACACATTGAATGTGACAAGTACTTCCAAATGATCTGAGGTTCTTTCCTCTGCTTGTTCAGGATCCCTAGGAAACAAAATGTGACAGTTGTGTTTGTGGAACTGGAATATTTGAAGTAACACTTTCTCTAGTTCCAAATGTTTTCCTGAGAAAGGCATTTCATTCATTTGATGTCCGATTATTGGACTTACCTCAAAGTTGTGTGTATGTTCTGCTTTGTGTCAATTTCTATTTGTGGACGAATCATAATGTTCCTGGGTGACCATGAAGTATGGTCTTAATGTGTTGTTGAATTTGGTGTGAGCTATATCTCATTAAGGATTTTCTAATCTATATTAGTCAAGGATATTGCCTGATACTGACCTCTTTTTAAGTTTTATTTACTTGGTGTGAGAATAAGGGTAATGCAAATTTGATGAGAAAAAATTGAAAATGTTCCTTCCCTCAGACTTATAGGATACTGAAATATCTGCAGAACAGTGCTGTTCTATGTTGAGATGATAGAATTCATCAGTGAATTGTCCTGGTCACTGTATGAGTCTTTCTTGATACTCAATACTTTCAGAGTGCTTTGTCTAGTTTTATTTCCTAGACTTTAACTTTCCCTTTGACTTATTATTTCCCTCCTTCTTGGATGTATTTTTATTTTTTATCATGAGAGGGAGGGAATGGCCAAAGCTTACAGAAGGACAGTGATGCATGGACAGATCTTCCTTTCAGACAAAAGATCATTAGTAAAGATGGTCTGGACACTCTGTGGGTGTCTGAAGTAGTTTTAGTCCCACCAGACAAAGTGTGTCTCCATTAACTTCATGGTATTTAGGGGAAAGGAGTTGCTTCAAAACCAAGAAGCAGGCTTGGTTAATATGAGACTTAGGTTACATGACAGAGGATGGGATCTGGAATTTAGGCTACTGAAGAGCTCATTGATTAGATTCATGGGGTGGATGGGAGAGATATGGTCAATATGTGACTGTGTGACAGCAATGAATCTGTCTTGGCTTCTGGGAAAGTAACAGGAAAGGGATGGGGAAGGATAACAGCCCTCTCTGCTAAGGGCATTTGTCCTTGGGGACAAGAACGTGAACGGAAAAAAATTTTAATAATTTAACAGAAAATAATTTCAAAAAATCACTGTGGTTTTTTCCGAGCCTTGATTGGTCCATAGCATGTTACATCACAGGGAATCCTTGTGAGGTATGCTAGACACTAGCCAATCAAAAGGCACTGTCTTAGGCTGGGTTTTGTCTGTACTTCAGAGAGTCCATTGGTTGGTGGGAGAGCAGTTGGACTCTGTTGTTTCCCATACACTTGACCTTTTCCTTGACCTGTTGTATCTGGACATAGTGAGTTTGTTTCCCAAGTTCTCAGTTTGTGATTTTATCAATTGTACTTAATTATTTCTTTATTTCTTTATTTACTGAAGCAACATACCCTTACATCCAAATTTTGAAGTCAAGTTACCTTTAAAATATACATTTTGGCATAACTCAACAGCTTTTGCAATCAAATGTTTTTCTTCACTTACGAAAACAAAGAGAACATAATCCAGATTCTCTGTGTGGTAGCCATCTGTATGTGGCTTATGTTTTATATTACCTTGAACCTATTGCTTTAAACTGCAGCCTTCTAAGACTGAAAAGGTGCTGTGGCTGCTGGCTATGCCCACTTCAGCTTCCCAACATGGCGGGTGGTACGTTTTCCGCCAGCTTTGGGAGCCATCAATTCTCAGAAATAGTGGGTCTATGCTTCTTATCAAAGCAGTGTGTAGCCCAGAAACCTCTTTTTGTTTTGTACTAGCAAAGGCTAAATCCACCATGCAGCTTAATGTGCCACTTGCAGAGGCCTCATTTCCACCATACTGCAAGTCAAGTACACACACGCCAGGAACCTGCCAGGAACTCAAACTGGCAGCTGCTGCTCATTTGAGAGACACAATTAGGAAGCTGTTTTTAGTTCCGTTTTAGAATCTTTTCCCAGGTTTTAGGTGGAAACTCTTGCCAACTCGTTGGGCGCCATTTGTAGCTAGAGTTTTCCTGCTTTGCCCACAGTCAGGACAAATCTTTGTCACCCGCCAGTCCCACAGCTGCTCAGACCCAACCAAGTAAACACAGAGACTTATACTGCATACAAACTGTATGGCCGTGGCAGGCTTCTTGCTAACTGTTCTTATAGCTTAAATTAGTCCATTTCCATAAATCTATACCTTGCTATGTGGTTGGTGGCTTACCGGTGTCTTCACATGCTGCTGGTCATGGTGGCAGCTGGCAGTGTCTCTCTCCTCAGCCTTCTGCTTCCCAGAATTCTCCTCTCTCCTTGTCCCACCTATACTTCCTCCTGCCTGGCCACTGGCCAATCAGTGTTTTATTTATTGACCAATCACAGCAATTTGACATACAGACCATCCCACAGCAATTTACATTATTGGTTTGGGTAGTATTTTTTCCCTATAATTTCTTTTTCTTCATTTCAACTTGTTTTCCTTCTATCAACTTCTTTTCTTTGTCATTTTTGGCAAGGTTTTTGTGTATTTTACAAATTTATTGTTATATATTAAATGCATAGGATGAGGAATTTGATCATGACTGATATCTGGCTGTACTCTACTTTGATGATAGTTATATGCTATATTTTACTTCTCAACACATTGAGTTGGACAAGTACTTTGTCAAGGGGACAAGTCCCATTGAATTGGACCCATTATACAAAGGCTATCCCCCTGCCTGCTCATGACCTGGAGTGAACAAAAATGTGACACTTGTGTTTATGGAACTGGCATGTTTGTAGTAACACTTTCACTAATTCCAGGTTTTCTCCTGAATTAGGCATTCCATTCCACTGATGTCTGATTTAGGACCTACCTCAGTGGGTGTGTATGCTGTGTTCTTTGGCAGTTTCTGTCTGTTTGAGTGTTCCTGGTTAAAGACATCTTGATCATGAAGTCTGGTCTTATTAATGTGGTGTTGAATTTGATGTTAGCTATCAATTACTCTCATTTATGTTTTCCAATCTGTCACTCATGGATATTACTTGACACTGGGATCTTTTTTAAATGTCTTCTATGGTTTGGAAATTAGGGGAATACTTCTTTTATGAAATGTGCTTGAAAGTGTGCCTTCCTTCAGTTTTATGGACTACTGAAATACTGTGGATCATTGCTGCTAGTTGTTGAGATTGGACAAGTTGATTTCTAGTTTGTTGGTTTTGGCTCCTGGGATTTAGATTTGCTGTTTCTTATTTATATTTATGTTTTTCAGTTTTCTTTATATTTATTCTTTTTTCATACAGTACATCCTCCTGTATGTATCCATCCTGACTGCATCCTCCCCTCCCTCCACTCACCTCCTCTCTCCACCTGATCCACAGCTCCTTTGTTTCCCTTTAGAAAAGAGCAGACTCCAAGGGATAGCAACTGAACATGGAATAATGAGATGCAATAAGAGTATATTTAAATTTTAGTTTTTTTCTTTTTTAATGTGTAAATACTTTTGAAGAAACATTTAATTTTTTGTTCTTTGAGAATTTCATTTTATTTTTATTATTAATTTTTTTCTTTTCATTTTACATGCATACACAGATTCCCCTATCCTCCCTCCTCCTGGTCCTGAGCCTTCCCCCCAACTTACCCCTATTCCCACCTCCTCCAAGGCAAGGTCTCCCATGGGGAATCAGCAGAGCCTGGTACATTCATTGAGGCAGGTCCAAGCTCCTCCCCCTGCACTAAGTCTGCACGAGGTGTCCCACCATAGGCACTGAGTTCCAAAAAGCCTGCTTATACACCAGGCATGGATCCTGATCCCACTGACTTGGGGCCCCGTAGCCAGTTCAAGCTAAACAACAGTCTTGCCTATCCAGAGGGCTTAGTCCAGTCCCATGGGGGCACCTCAGCTATTGGTCCACAGTTCATGTGTTTCCTCTACTTTGGATAGTTGTCTCTTACTTTTTCTGATCATGATCTCAATCTCCCTTGCTCATAGAATCCCTCCTCTCTCTCATTGATTGGACTCCTGGAGCTTGGCCTGGCACTCGGCCATGGATCTCTACATCTGCTTCCATCAGTTACTGGATGAGGCTCTATAATGACAGTTAAGGTATTCACTGTTCTGATTACTGGAACTGATTACTGATTACATTTAAGCTTCTATAATTAGGACAGTTCAGGCACCCTCTCGACTATTGCTAATAGTCTAAGGTGGGGTCATCCTTGTGGATTCCTGAGAACTTCCCTAGCATCCTGTTTCTCCCTATTCCCATGGTGTCTTCATTTATCATGGTGTCTCTTTCCTTGCTCTCCCACTCTGTCCCTGTTCCAGCTCAAACCTCCCCATTCCCTTATGTTCTCATCCTCCATTCCTTGCCCTCCATTACCCCACCTCACCCCCAGTTTGTTCATGTAGATCTCATCTATTTCTCCTCCGCTGGGCTATCTATGTGTCTCTCTTGGGATCTTCATTGTTAGCTAGCTTCTCTGGAGCTATGGGTTGTAGTCTGGTTATCCTTTGCTTTACATCTACTATCCACTTATGAGTGAATACCTACCATGTTTATCCTTCTGAGTCTGGGTTATTTCACTCAGGATATTTTTATATATACACATTCTCATAAGCAATTGCATGATACATTTCCATACATGCCTATACTGTACTTTGATCATGTTCCTCTGCACTATGTCAGTCCCCCACCATATCTTTGTGACTCATACTGTGACTTTACACAAGCCTAGCCCTCTCCTTCCTGTGACCAGGAGAGACAAAGTAGATCCTGTTTCTGTTTGTGGAGCTGCCTTGTCTCCTGTAGAATTCTATCTAGTTTAGCTACTTTCCTTATAACACAGCAGTTCTCTAGTCACTGTGCTGAGTGTGGATTCTTCCCACAGTCTCCTTATGTGCTATGCTGTTGTTCCATTTGATACAAATGTTACTTCTGCCATTCTGACCATGAACAAAGGTCTCTTTAGTGTGTTGCTGAGATGGAGGTGAAGTATGAGGGACTCTCATGAATGATTTTCACATCTATGTTCATCAAGGAAAGGAGCTAACATTTGCTCCATTCTTTGAGCTTACTTG